ATTTAACATTAAAATTAAAATTAATTTTTATATTTTTTATATTTATTATAATAAAAAATATTTTTAACCTATATTATATTTTAAAGATAGGTGTTAAAAAATTTAAAATAAAAAACAGAAAAAACCTGCCGAGGGGCCTATAGAAATTGATGGTCCCCCTTGCTTGGTATCCGAGCCTTAATCCTGTAATTAAAGCAGAAAACATGTGGTTCAGACTCGAAAGACTTGGTCTATAAGTCCAACTACTTCATGGACCCTTGCGGCAAAAGCTATCCGTTTGCCCTTTAACTTTTTGATTTTGAGTGTTTTTACCCTTCATATTACAATACATGAATTTTTACTCTTCATATTTTCGAGTTTGAGGAAATGAGATAAAATTTAACGTCGGAGCGTCACGTGTAGCACGTGCACTGTTGGCTTTCGTCAAGTGTGCACATGTCAGCGCCACCTCAGATTTTTTTGACAACTTGGCATGCCAACTTGGAATCACATGAGCGGGAAATCTACCTGCTATCAATTTTATTTGTGGGTCCCACTACTAACTAAAGGTTTGAAAAAAAGGTTAAATCCTTGATTCAGTCCCTTAACTTTCATTTTTAAACTAAATTTACCCTTAAACTTAAAAATATTGTGACTTGGCACCAAAAATATAATTTAACAAATAAAAATTTCTTTTTTTTTTCTTTTTTCTTTCCTTTCCTTTTTTTTTCTCCTTCTCTTTCCTTCTTCTTCCCCTCCCTACTGGGTTCGAAGGAACCCAGCACCAGGCGTGTTGGGTTCCATCGAACCCAACAAGCCTGGGTTTGATGGAACCCAAGCGCAGGTTCCTCGAACCCAAGCTTGGGTTCCTCCTTCGAACCCAGGCGTGCTGGGTTCGAAGGAACCCAGGCGTGCGTGCTCTGTACTCTCTTATCTCTCTTCGCCCCTGATCGATGTAAGTATAAAATCCTCATCTTTGGTTTTCTGTTTGTTTGCCGAGAAAGTAGGTTGGAAAATCAGAGAAATTGCTGACTCGGGTATTTTAGTGTTTGAAATTTCATATTTGATAGTGATAGTATAGTCATCTAACTCCTTGTCTGCTTAAGTCTTATGTCTGTAGTCAAGACATCTGCTTGGTTTGTTGTTTCTGCAGATCTGTTGTTAAATAATGAGAGAGATCCTTCACATTCAGGGTGGACAATGTGGGAACCAGATCGGTGCTAAGTTTTGGGAAATGGTCTGTGATGAGCACGATATTGATCCGATAGGACGATACAATGGAAACTCTGATCTGCAACTAGAGCGTGTGAATGTCTATTACAATGAGGCTTCGTGTGGGCGATTTTGTCCCGCGTGTTGTGCTCATGGATCTGGAACCAGGTACTATGGACAGTGTCAGGACTGGTCCCTACGGTTAGATCTTCAGGCCTGATAACTTTGTGTTTGGTTAATCTGGCGCCAGTAACAACTGGGCTAAGGGCCATTACATTGAGGGAGCTGAGCTCATTGATGCTGTTTTTGATGTTGTGAGAAAGGAGGTAGAGAACTGTGATTTGTCCCAGTCGTTGGTGCTGGGTTCCTTCGAACCCAGTAGGGAGGGGAAGGAGAAAAGGAAAGAGAAGGAGAAAAAAAAAATTTTTTATTTATTAAATTATATTTTTGGTGCCAAGTCACAATATTTTGAAGTTTAAGGGTAAATTTAGTTCAAAAATGAAAGTTAAGGGACTGAATCGAGGATTTAACTTTTTTTTTTTCAAACCTTTAGTTAGCAGTGGGGCTCACAAATAAAATTGGTAGCAAGTAGATTTTCCGCTCATGTGGTTCCAAGTTGGCATGCCAAGTTGTCAAAAAAGTCTGAGGTGGCGCTGACATGTGTACACTTGACGGAGGCCAACGGTGCACGTGTTACACATGACATTCCGGCGTTAAATTTTGTCTCATTTCCTTAAACTCGAAAATATGAAGGGTAAAAATCCATGTATTGTAATATGAAGGGTAAAAACCCTCAAAATCGAAAAGTTAAGAGGCAAGCGGGTACCTTTTGCCGGACCCTTGCTTTCACTTTTCAAATCAATAATGCAACGCAGTTCCTTTCGCACTAAATCTTTGTGTTTTTTTCTTTTAATGGTAGGTTGCTCTTTAA